TCCCTTCCGACCCTAAAACTATGAAACTATGAAACTATAAGAACATGGTGTGAAAGCCTGGAATGGCCCCAGTATTATTTCAACTCCTCCTTTCTTTTGTTTAGAGAAGGGGTTACTATTGCAGTGAGGGGATAAAAATGAAGGGACAGGCATTTGAATGGTTAGCAGCTATGGCCAGATGCTGGAGGGGTTAGAATTCAGGGCAACAGCTTGACTCAAAACTCTCTACCGTAACTCAATATTGGGCCAGTTTCCACCCAATAGTTTTTCTGAGGCTATGAACAGATGTCGCATTTGACCCTGGGTAAGCTGCGCTTCTGTTTGCCCTGGAAATAAAAATATCCTAGGTTTGGCATGTACACACACCACCCTTTTAATGAAGGTTTAGTGAGTGGCTGAATGCAGTGCCCCTTTTCTGCCATTGAGTCAACAGTGCTGTCCCAGGATACCTGTACAGGCATACTCTGCAATATTCATGGATAAACTATCACTATCTCTTATCCAGCAAATTATTTTTAGGATCGATGCTGGCAGAACACACATTGATGTCTGTATGATTGGCCCTAGGATGAATGATACATCCGCAGCCTCAGTTTCTAGTTCTTTCAAACCGAGGGATTACAACCCATTTTGGAGTTGAACATCTGGGGTTTGGATCAGATTCAAACAAGTTTCACACAAGTACCTCCATAAACACTTTGCTGGTTTTCACAAGCCCACAGTTTGCAGCCTTAAGAGCCTTCTTTCTTTTCATGCAAACCCCTCATGCAATCGATTTGGGGGGAGATTTTGAGAGAGAAAAACATTTCTTTCAAATTACTGAAGCATCCTGTGGATGTCTAACCCTGAGGCACCTTAGGGGGGATCCAGGGTGTCCACAGATCCCTCTGAATCATCTAGTGATGTGAGAGTGCATGCTCTTTGTGAGGAAGCACCAAACATGTTTTGCCGTGAATGGGGTGAGAAACAGAGCTGGCTTGACTCCGAAGGGATGAACAAGCAACCCGAACATGCAGCCGTCACCAGACAGTATGTGATCACCTCATTCAGCCACCTGCAGCTGAGTGCATCTGAGCCTGTGTCTCTGAGGGCTCAGGTAGGGAAGCCCAGGAAAGAGAGCTCATGGGAGAAGGCAGAAGTAGATCAGAGAGTCAGGGAACCATGTCTCAAAATTGGCCTGGTGGGACCCCAAAGAGGAGTTTGCTATTTCAGTTTAGAAACCCATTATATTTGGAACCAGGTGATGAGCGAGAGACTCAAATCCACCCAGAATTGGCTTCCTGGGGAAATTCACAGCTCCAGCTCTCGTAGTGCTGGGTTGCTTTCTCTCAACAGCCCTGCCAATGGGCCAGCAGCCATCAGCTGTGGGCTCTGTACACTCCTGCAGACTCTCCCAATGCTCCTCACTCCTTTACACTACCCCCGGCAGCCCAATCCCATGCTCCACTCCTCACACCTCAGCCAGTGCCCCTCATTCTTTACACACAAGCCCAGTAGCCTTGCTCCATCACATCTAGATAGTCCCCCTCACTTCTGACCCACAGCCCTGTTCTCGCAACCATAGGCTAGCTGTGAAGACCACTGCTCCCCCTCCTCAATCCTGAACCACAGCTCTCTGCAACCCCAAATGTTGACCTGCAGCCACAGCCCTGGTTTTACCTTTGTACTGCTAATTCCCCCACATAACCCCATGCTATCCCAGCCCAGAGCTTCCCCTAAACTGTCCTGGTGCCCCATGGCCTCACCCCCTTTCTATCTCCCTGTCTTGCCTTTCTCTCCCCAGCTGTACTGATGCCCTTCACTCCCCACCTGCAGCCCCCCTGCTGTTCTAGTTAGGGGCACCTGCCACCAGCTCTGGTGTTGTCTGTCCGTATTGATCTGCACCGCCTCTCCTCTAAGCTCATCCAACACCACCACTGTTCCCTGCCTACAGCTCCCTGCTCTTTGAGGTCTGCTTCCCCCTGCACAAGTCAGCAGGGAGCCCTCAATCCTGACCTGCAGCCTGGTCCTACTCCAGTTCAGGGCTTCCTGCACAGCTCTGCTGGTAGCCCCAGTCCCATCGTGCAGACCCCTGCTCTCCCTGCTCAGGGCTCCCTGCCCTTGCTTCTGCTGGAATTCCTAACCCCAAGCCCATAGACCCCCTTCTATCACACCCTCAAGTCCTTACCTGCAGCATCCCTACCCTGGGATCCCTCAGCTCAACTGATCCCACCCAATCCCAGCCTTCAGCCCCTTCCTCCCCTAGCTCTGGGTTATTCCATCAATGTTTAATCCTGGACATTATCCCTGCTACCCCGTCCAAGCTCTACTAGTGCCCCTCACTCCTGCCCTGCAACCTCTGCTATTCCAGCACTAGCTTCTCTACAGTTTGCATGGCTCCCCTCTAAGTTCCTTGTTATCCCAGCATTGGATTCTGTCCTTTCTAGCTCAGCTTGTGTCTCTCAGTCTGACCAGAAGTTTCCACTTCTCCCAGCTCTGAGCTCTCAATTCTGTTAGTGCCCCTCTCTCCCACTCATAGCTCCCACTAACCCACCCTGTACTTCTCATTACTGTCCTGCTAGTCCCCCTGTCCCACCATTTACAACCTGTACCTCCCTTCTAGCCCAGTCCTTTATTCTGTTCCCCCAAGCTCTGCTTTCAGTTATAACCATGCTACCACCTACTAGTTCAGCTTTGGGCTATGTCAGTTCTACTTGTGCCCCCCACTCACAGCTCTGCCAATGCTTCTCAACTTCAGCTTGCAGTGTCCTGCCAGCTCATCTCAGGTCTGAATCCCGACTCGCTGGGCTAGTGTTCAGCAGTGCTGAGCAAACAATGCCTGGTTACAAGCCCAGTCTCCCTCTAGCTTTGGCAACGCCCTTCATGCTCAGCTTGCAGCCTCTGGGTATTGCAACCCAGGGCAGTACTCAACATTTATGACCTGCTTGCCTGACTCTGGGCTCCCCTTCATAGTGCTGCTGCTTCCCCTCAATTACTGCAGCACCATTTTGCTTCCTCTCCCTTCTGCCACTCCAGCTCTACCAGTGCCCCTCATCTCAGAACCATTCCACTCCTCCTTCCTTGACAACGGTTTCCTCCTGAGCTGAGATGATTCCTCAGCATACCATCTCAGAGCCCCCTGCTTTCCAAGCCCTACAATTATCAAACTGGACTGCTGCTGCCCCTGGAATCTCGGGTGGCATCTGCCTAAGATCTCCATGCCCACCCCCTTCCCTACTGGATACATGCACTGTAAGGGCCACTTGCCCCACTCCATCAGATCCCCACTACTGCATCAGCATGGTGGATGTACCGTTCCTCTTCTGTTGCCCTGAAGAGAACCCAGGAATCCTGTCCCTAGATGCCCCCTTGCTGTAACCTAAGAGGATCCTATCTCTATCCCAGAGCTGGGGAGGGTACCCTAGAAATTCCAAGTCTCCTCCATAATCAGTCTTAGTCCTAAAGAAAATGCCTCTCATAAGTTGACAAAGTCCTCTGTGATCACAGGATATGGAGCAAGAGGAAGCTGTTTCTTTCTAGGTACTCACCAAGGTGTCCATTGAGGTAGGCTGAGACCAAGTGCTGTAGACAGAAGGATCTTTACCTGAGGCCAGCTCTGCTTGAGTGGCTCATATCTCTCTTCTGAAGTATCCTTGCTTGTGTGAATTTGGGAGATAACTGCCCCCTCCAATAGCTAGAAGAATCAGTGAGGTGTAGAATATCAACGACGCCCCACTGAGGGGAATTAACTGTTCAAATTAGTAACAAAACAAGAAGAATTTTATGGTTGGGTGAACCCAGGAGGTTGAACTGGGGCAAAAAAACATCCTTGGTGAGAATTGTACCCATTGAAACTTCCCCTTTTGAGCCTGTTTTCTTCTGTCTGTCTTTTGCCAGAGTTGGGTAAGGAGACTTCAGACATTAGAAATGACTGAGCCCATGAGGACCTTTTATAAAATGTTCACTATTAGAGGGGGGGAATGATCAAATTATTGCCTTCCCAGAGCTTGGGATAGAACCCAGGTGTCTTGGCTGCCACGCTCTTTAGATCCCACATCTCTCACAAAGTCATAGGATCATAAGACAGCAGAGCTGGAGAGGACCTCACAAGGTCATCTAGTCCAGTTCCCTGCCCAGAAAAGGTCATACCTGACTAAACCATCTCAGCTAAATATCTATCCAATCTGCTCTGGAAAATGTTGAGGGATGGAGATTCCACAGCTTGTGTAGGTAGCATGTTCCAGTGCATGTAGTGGACTGATTTAGCACTTGTTTAACCAAGCACTAAACTTAATACTACTGCAGAGTAGCATATTAGAACAGTTTTTGCTCTGCACACTACTTCACAGTGTTATTAGGCTACTGTGCAGTTAGCATTTTGTGTAGATGCGCCCAGTACTATCTAAAATGCTTGAGCAGGATCTTATAGAAGATGGGAAAAGATAGATAATTTACTCTTGAGACCCGGGGTTAACCCATTGATATCCAAGGTGAGAACTTAGTACAACATCATTCATTTCTGTTAGCTATTATCCTTCATTCTGTGCTGATTTCCATCCTATGTTCTTACCCAGATCAGGAAATACTGCCTTCATTATAGAGGACTTGTAGAGAAAGTTCTGAAACAAGACATGAAAGGCACAGGAGACTGAGTGAGATACAGAGAACTGTGCTTGTGGTGGGTTGTGGTAGACAGACAAATTGTCAAGTTTCAGAATGCAGGGATAGGATAACCAGAGAGACAGAAAGTTGTGGGGGGTAGATGAGAGGACAGATGCATCTAGGCCCAGGGTGCAGTGGATTATAAGAGGGGCAGCTATGATTCCTGGGTTCCATCTAGAGCTTGGGGAATGAGTCTGAGATCTTGCGTGTTATAGTGAAGGAGGAGCTGGGGTGCAGCACTCCTAGGGTCTATGCTGAAGTTTGCAGGGCACCTGAAGAGGCTGGAACCCCACTATTTTGTGAGTTTAGGATTGTAGCCTGAATTCCTCTGGCCTGTCTCACAAGCTGTGCTCTCCCCTTCTGCAGAGCCACCTGCATCTCCAGCCGTGTATCCTCTGATGCCTTGTTGTGGCTCCTTTGCTGACTGCCTCGATGATTATGTGACCTTTGCCTGCCTGGTGACGGGGTATTTCCCAGTGCCAGTGGAAATCAAGTGGAATATTGATCAAGGGACTGAAAGTATGACCCACAGCTTTCCACCAATTAAGCACAGCAACGGTCACCTTACCAGCAGCAGCCAGCTCAGCATCCCTGCCAGGAATGTGGAGAGAAACAGCTTCCAGTGCACGGTAGAACACAATCCAACAAACACAACGACTTCCAAGATGATCCCTACAGGTGAGAGAGGATGGGCTGGGAGAGTAAGGTTAAAAGGCCTGTAACAGAATTGTCCAGGAGATTGTCTGAATGAAGAACAGGTAAGTAAATAAATAGACAGACAAACACACAGATGGAAGGATGCATGGTGCAGAGAGAAGGATTTATTTATGGTCAGAAGTGAGGATACTTGGATGAGCCCTACAGAGAATAGCATAGAAGATGGTTATGCAGAAGGGTAGAGTAGGTGAATATAGAGAATGAGGAATGAGTGATAGAGAAGAAGAGCTGGATGGACAGCTCAACACATGGAACAGCGCATGAACATCTTTCTCCATGAACATCTCTCTGCTGCCACAGTTATTTCCAGTCCCTTTCAAAAACAGCATACCGTCAAAGGGAAAGGGATCATAGTGGCACTCAGGGAGGTGAAGGGATAACTTTGTGGCATGCATACTAAAAAGTTTCAGGGATATTGGTTGTAGCCATATTGGTCTAAGGACATAGGCAGACAAGGTTCTTTGGGTAAATCCAATATCTTTTATTAGACCAACTAAAATACTTGGAAAAAATTCTTCTTTACAAGCTTTCGGGTACAAACACTCTTCTTCAGGTGTTTGTACCTGGAAGCTTGCAAAGAAGAATTTTTCCAAGTATTTTAGTTAGTCTAATAAAAGATATCAGATTTACCCAAAGAACCTTGTCTACTAAAAAGTTTGGCTCACATTGAGCTAGGCAATATATACATGATTGTTTTATGCCTCTGACATTTGCTTCTGTCTGCTAACAGAGGTGTGTAACAAGGAGCCCCAGGTCAGTTTGCTAGCCCCAGCCTGTGAGGATGGCCCCGTACAGTATCCTGTGGAGCTAGTTTGCTTCCTCCAGAACTTCAGACCCAACACAGCCACAGTGGAATGGTTCGTGAATGGAGTGAAGAAGAACCTTCCTGACACCATCTACTCATCTGCTAAGGGCACAGATGGCTTGTACATGGGCCAGAGTCGAATGAACATCTCCATGGAAAGTTGGAATAAAAGGGATCTTTACACATGCAAAGTGACCCACCCTGCATGGGGCACGGACTTCAAGATGTACAATGCAACAAAGTGTGAAGGTGAGGTCCTTTGAGTGTGTCAGCATGAAGTATGGAGGGACGATACACATGGAAATGTGATAGAGATAGCACTGAAGACAGGGTGGAGATATATGGAGCTGGATGGAAGTATATGGCAGATGGATATACTGAATCTGTGTGTGCATGGATTAGTGGATGGATGAATGTGCATGTACATTTATGGTGGATAAATGGATGCACAGTATGAGAGTAGGATAGGATTATTGCGGAAATGGATGGAAAAAGAGTGAAAGCCAGGTACATATGAGAAGATACAATATGGTAAGCTCAAGAAATATTGCAAAGGGAAGTGTAGATGGAGAAGTAAAATGTATAATAATTTCATACTTCTGAGAAGAAAGGATGGAGAGATTGAATGCCAGCAGTGTAGCTAGAAACTTACTGAAACAAACTCTCCCATCAGTACTTGGTATTTTTGACCTGTTACAACACTTTTACACTATAATCATCTCACCTTCACCTCTTGAAGTTCCAAAGTATTTTGGGATCCCTGAATTTCACCTTGGACAAATCAGCCAGGATGACTGTGGAGGCCCACAATGTAAATGATGCAGAAGAAGAGGGAGAGAGAATAGGGGACAAGAGTGATGACTTTTGTGTTGCATTCATGGTCTCTGGGAAGGAAAGTGGGATTGAGGAGGATAAAGCACTCTGCAGCCATTGGAGACCAAAGCCTCCCTATCCGCCTTGTGGTTTCAGACACCCTTTTCAAATTAAAGGGAAGCAGGTGCCCAGATCCCATTAGGCGGTTTGGAAAACCTGAGCTACTTGTCCTAACGTTGTACAGGATAAATCTCCCATAGAATGGGATGAGACTGAATTCTCAGAACTCCAGGAGGGTGCCTAGGACAACATTTCTCAGACCATCATCATACCGTTCAAACTTAACGCTGTTCCTCAAAAATGTCCTTGGACTACCCTTGGACTGTCCTTGGAACAAAAATGTTCTTGGTGACTGGCATTTGATTTACAAATGTTTAGTTCATCCACTGAACATTTGTAAAGTCCAACCCTCAATCCCACCTCTGACCCTACCAGATTGCTGTGACCCACCCCCAGTGGAAGTCTTCCTCTTACCTCCTTCCTTGGAGGACCTCTACATAGCTCAAAACACCACCATCGCCTGTTTGGTCACCAACCTGGGGACAGACAGTAGCCTGGATATCTCCTGGAGCCGGGGGAGTGGAAGTGCCTTGGATGTGGTGATTGGGAAGCCAGTTCAGCAAGAAAATGGCACCTACAGCATGACCAGCAGCCTGCAGCTGTGCGCAGAGGAATGGAAGTCTGGGGAGGAATTCACCTGTACAGTGAAACATCCGGACATCCCGTCTGCTATCATCAAATCCATCCACAAGACCCAAGGTATGAAGATAGCATTGTCCATGAGGTGGCACCAACATCATTTTTGCCTCTTGGTTGGAGAAATGTTTGGCAAAAAAATAATGGGTTATATAATATGGGGCCTATGACCCTTCAAATAGATTGGGTATTTAAATTTGTGATGGAGGATTAAGTGCTCAAATACAGATGCAAGTAAAAGGGATGGAACTAAGGATTTCTAGGTATGTACTTGTATTTTGAGAGGGGAGTGGGTTAGGATGTAGGTGAGAGAATCTGGAGGTCTGAGCTCTAGCCAACACTCTGGGAGGGGAGGAAGGATCTAGGGGCTGGATTAGAGAGGTTCTGGTGTCAGGACTATTTTCAGCCCTAGGATGGGAATATGGTCCAATGGATAAGAGGTAGCAGGATTTCCATATTGAGTTTCTGATCATTAACTCCTTTCTGGTTTCCACATGCCAGTGATCAACGTACAAGCCCCTTCTGTCTACATCTACCCTCCCTCTGCTGATGAGCTGGCCCTGCAGGAATCAGCCACCGTGACCTGTCTGGCCAAGGGCTTCCGCCCCAGTGACATCCTGGTGACATGGACCCAGCAGGACCGGCCTGTGTCCCAGGAAGCCTTCATCAACATTGGACCCTTCTGGGACCCTGTGCAGAAGGGGGAGAGCTACTTCATCTACAGCAAGCTCAGCATCCCAACATCAGAGTGGCAGCGGGGAGACACGTTTTCCTGTGTGGTGGGCCATGAAGGCCTTCCGATGACCTTCATCCACAGGAGTGTGGACAAAGTCTCTGGTAAACCCACTGCTGTCAACGTTTCTGTGGTTTTGTCTGACACTGCACTCACCTGCTACTGAGGAGACAGTACTGCAAGTCTTGTGTGTCTGTGGTGCCTTGTAGCTTGTGTGCAAAGCTGAGGGAGCTCTGTTGACCAAAGCTTGGCTGTATGTGCCGCCTATCTAAATAAAAATGCAAATTGTTCATTATGTTTCCAATAAGGATTCATCTTCTGGAATGATCCCTCTCTCTCAGTCACTGTGTCCTATTCATCCATTTATCTGCCCCAGCTCCTTTTCATCCTTGAATGGCTGTAAGATGAAACCAGGATAGTTTCAATGAACTTGAAGGAATAAGGTTTTTTTTTAATAGATCACTGGAACAAAGAAGATAAGGACAGTGTGGATTTTCCATCTCTTGATGTCTGCAAATTTTGCTATTTGAAATGCCTTTGCCCAACACAAGGTTTTGGGCTTTATATAAGGGTAACAGGATGAAATATCCTGGACAGTGCTATACAGAGGTTCAGATGAATTGACTTAATGGTCCTTTTTCACTTTTACTTCATTTAAAGCTTCAAAGGCATGAAGGTCAAGTTAATTATCTATCACCCAGTGTGAGTGATATTGGGACCTGGGAGCCAACACCTAGAGGGGATGATTATCTCTAGGCAAGACTTCATTGGACATTTCACTGAGCTATGGGATTGGTGCTATTCATCTTGCTGGTGCTCAAGGCTAAGATTTTTCAGAGGTGCCCTAAAGATTAAATGGAAGAGCAAATGATTGCCAGGTCTGGGAGACTGTGGATATCTTACACATACATGGGGTCTATGGTCTTCAAGTCCAGGGAATTCCATCTGCAGATTCCTATTTTGAATCCAATATTTTCCAGTTGACCTTCAGGGTAACCCTTCAGAAAGTGATGGGGCATTCTTATCTAGGCTCAGATTCAAAGGAAGTTGGGGTAACTTTGGAGAAGTACTGGGGATCTAAAGAAGCCCACTGATGAGAATCCACCACATCTTCCAAGGGCATATGCTGGTCTTGCTAAGTCATCACTTATTGGCAGAGCACTGTCTTGTGATATGCATACCCAGTGCCCGGTGTCCTAGCCCATGCGCTAGGGCTTCTGGAGGTTTGCTGCAACACGAACCAAAATCATATGCTGGATTTCAGCCAGCATGAATGGAATCAGAAACACTTTTGTGGAATCAAAGACAAGAACATGCCAGAGTCCTCTTTGTTCCTCAGTCGATACCCAAAACTCTTGACTGAGATCAGGCCTTCTGCTATGGTGCTTACCATACAAACACAGCATGAGGGATGTTTCCTGTCTCAAATATCTCAAATAGATTAGAGGAGGTGAAGAATGGTTTTCATCCTCAATTCACCCTTAAAGCAACTGGGGCACAGAGAGACCAGGGCTGGGAGTAACGAAGGGAGCCAAGAACTGTTTTTTGCCCAACTTCTCTTTAGTTCAAGTTCCACAAGGAGGGCATTTCAGAGAAGACAAAGGGATTGAAATGCATTGTCCCCAGTGGAAGTACCCCCTAATCCTCAGGGGCATGGATGCTTCAGACAGAGAGATTAGGGAAGCTCCTAGTACTTTGTTTTTTCCAAGGAAAGCAACGAGACTCTTCACAGACTACAAACATCATGAGAAGAGATTTCTTATAATAGTTTTCATTTTAGTTTAGAAAAAGAGACGTCTTTAATTTAGATAAAATAGAGAGGGCCTCAAGAGTTGGAAGGAAACTCTGAACCAATTCAGAGTACTAAAGAGGTACAGACTTTCATTAGTAAGGAGAATACACAGGTGAAATGATTTGACTGAAGATACAGTGATTTCTTCATCAAAGGATGACATCAGATCAAGACTGAATAAGTTTGTATCAGGTCTTCTCTAGTTCATCCAGGAGTTTTGGATGCAACGTCCTTTGCTCTGCAAGGGTGAGGTTCTTTCACTCCCATGGAGTAGATGGTCAGAATAGATCATCATGCTTGTTCCTGAACCCTCAGCCAAAGTCAACAGAAATAGAAGGTCTTGCTGCAAGAGCCAGGGGGCAGAATCATGATCTTCTGAATTGTGATGTGTTGAATTAGTCCATTATATACTCTTCGTGCTGCATGCCTGTGGCAGGGGCAAGGGAAACACCAAGCTGCTGGGACCCGGTGGCAGCAGCGAGAGCCCCTCGCCCCCGAAAATGCCGTCAGCTTTGCCAGATGGTGGACTGTAGGAACATGGTGGTGGCAGCAGGACTGCCATGCCACTGGTAAAGTCAGCAACCCTGCAGCCTGTGGAGCCATGGGGAGAGAATAGAAGGGGCAGGAAATCATGCTGGCAATCCCACAGCCTCTGGGAGCAGGAGGGAGATGCAGCGGCGGCAAAGCCGCTACGCAACAGTATTTACTGGGACTCCCATGGTGACCCCCACTGCAAACAGCTGGGGCCCGGGGGCAGGCCAAAGAAGAAAATCAGGCACTGGTGTGGAAGCACTTTGTAAGCACGTGCCGGCATCATTTCACTGTCCGGGGCAGCGAGACATGGCTAAAAGCCCGGGTTCTAGTTTGACAGGGGGACCAGAAAGAAGTCCCCAGCAGCCCAGGGCAGGCCGTGGGACAGGCTAGAAAGAATCTGAAGTTGAAGACGACAAGGATCGGTGGTGGCAACCCCCTTGTCAGGAACTGCCTCCACCCAGCAGGGCAAGAGAGTTTCCCCAGACACTAGGGGGGAAACATGGGAGCCTTCCTGGAAAGGGGGCATGGAGGAGCGATGATAAGACCAAGGAAGACTATCCAAGATGGTGACCGACATCGACGCCGAGTCTGAAGAACATCAACATGACAACAGGTTGGCACTAGGTGGGGTATAAGGGAGGTAGAGCCCCCAAAATCCTTGCACTACTAAAAGACTGTAGCTGAGCACCACTGAGCCAGGCATAACACCAGCCCCAAGGAAAAGATTAAGATCAAAGACATGGCAGGAAAGACACTCCAGTCAGTGAGGTAACTGGTGCCCAGACAAACTGTCGGCCTGCAAGCCTGTGGTTGGCCTAGGGCAACCATAAAAGCGTAGGAGGGGAGCGCTGGACAGGCATGGCCAGCTACAACGTCCTTTTATAGTATCTAATGAAGTGAACATGGGTTTGTGAAAGCCTGTGCTTTCTCTGTGTGTGTGTGTGTGTATCTATTTATCTATCTATCTATCTAGTGAAGATAATGAGTGGAGTGAGCTGTAGCAAGGCACAGCACTTGATTGGTATAGGTGGGAATAGAACCCAGGTATCCACAACCAATGCCAAGTACGCTCCGGACCCGGCAGCTACCTAGATAGATAGATAGTCAGTCTAAAAGTTACATGTCTACCCTACCTTGTAACTACAAACCCTACAGTCTAATATGGTGAACTACCTCTCTCTAAACTGAAGAAGTCAAGACCCCTTCCTTCAGTACTGGAGAGTAACTGGAAGTCTGGCCCGTTGAATAATGCCATGCACAAACTGAGTCTAGGAGTCCTCACACCATTTCTCCATGAGGATGAAGTTCAATTCACCTTACCTGTGAAGAACTCAGCTGGGAAATTGTTGTCCCAATGCTGTCTTGGGAATTGTTTCCCAGTGTGGTGAAGGCAGGCTGCGAGTGATAGACGTTTCTATTGAGCAGTGAGTTGAGGAGTTTTCCACTTGCATCTCTGTGGGTAGGTGAACCTGCCACAACACTATGATGTATATCACCAAAATCCTCTGCTATCCTACAATCACATTCTCAAGTCAATCAAACTTCATAACAAATCTAGGAGGGTGTTTTATAGTCACTCTTCAAAACCTCTCTCTTCTATCAGTTTGGAAACTTCTTAGGCGTTCAGGCTGAATTTATGCAAGACCATTTTGCCAACATTGCCCTTTAATTTCAATGGTTCTTCTGCCATTACCTGGTGTCTAGTCCACTGATGCATTTTGGGGGAATAATCCTTATCCCCTTTATGCTTTGGGCTGCTAAAATAAACAATTTAAACCCTTTTATCCTCTTTTTCTTAGATGGGGTCTCCATTTCACTACTCATCTTAGTACCCCTATTCTTCACCTGCTCTAGTTTGGGTTCATGCTGCTGAGACATGGTGATCAGAACTGAATACCACATTTAATGTGAGGTTATACTGGCATCTTGAGCAATGGCTGCAAGCCTTCCTTCTCTCTGCTGAAATGATCTTTCCTGATGCATCCTAGAATAACCCGAAGCTTTTTGTTGAATGGCTCAGGGAACTGGAGAGAGATGATCACGGGGGGGATATTGATGCTTTTCAAGGCACTATGGGATGGAGTTTGGTTAAAAACATGGTTCAGGGTGAGGCAGGCTGTTTGCCCTATTTTTACATGTATTATGGTAGTGTGTGGAAGCTGATATTGTGACCCTGATGTGTTTGGAGCTGTATGGAGGTATTGCAAGACAGAGGTTCTGCTCATATGGGACCTATTCAAAAGAAAGCGTGGGTGAAGTGAGCTGTAGCAAGGCACAGCACTTGATTGGTATAGGTGGGAATAGAACCCAGGTGTCGACAACCAATGCCAAGTATGCCCCGGACCCGGTAGCTACTAGAGTGGAAGTGGTCACAGACCTGATCTCTTTATGCAAATGGCCCATGTTATAACAATAGGGGAAAATGGAGCTTCCTCTCTGCTGAGGAAACTGATCCCAGTGTGCTATGCTATGGCAATGAATGGGAAGTTTCTGCTGCTTGGTGAGACACAGGCCCACTGAATGATGCATTGGTCATTCCCAGACTAAATACCATTCCAGGACATCGCTGTTTTGGGGTCACTTGCTCATAAAGTTGTTTGTGATGTTGAAATTTGTAAAGGAATGCAGTAGAGTCAATGGGATCTGTGGGCCAAAATCTGTGAGGCACTTTTGAAAACTAGTGCCTATGCAGAAGTTTCCCTGCTTTCTTGTCTCACATTGGGCAAGAAACATTGTGCCAGTTGCAGAGTGACAGAGCGGGGTTTCTTTCCATATGATCTAAGCTTCATTGGTGTGAATGCCTATGCGGAGTTAAAAGGAGACTGTTCTAACAGGGCACTTATTTTGTTTTAGCTTTTGTCTTTGCGGTGGTGGACCCACAGGATTACATTGAAGAAGGGCAGGATGATCCTGATTGTTTCTGGGTAGTGCTTACCTTCATCGTTCTCTTCCTGCTCAGCCTCT